CCCAACATCCACAAAAAAAAAAAAAGGAAACTTTACCAATTTTATGCCCAATATCGGTAGCAAAAGGATTCCCTTGAAAAAAATCACTAACTCTTTCACCAACAGACACCGCTGCTTCTTTAGCACTATCCATCGCACTAATAACTTGATCCTGAACTCCACTCATAGCTGGAAACTAGAGATTCAATTTTATATTGAAAAAGTAGACAGTAAACTTCAGAAACACCACGAAGAAAGTCACCTATAAGTTCACGAACTCACGAACTTGCAAATGCGAGAATGCAAAGCCAAAGAGAAACTTTTAAATACAAAAAGATTCCCAAGGACTTATAGATCAACTATCATTTGACTAAAAATACCAGAATCTTCCACATACTTGATAAAATATTCATCTGCAACAACAAACTCAGTTATACAGCTTTCCATATAGCTGAAACTATATGATATTGAAAAGAATGCTCAAACATTATGCTGTTAAAAATCATATAACCATCGTATAATGATTTCTTTCAAATTTCTTTATATGTTTAACGACTGGTCAACAATGGTTCACTGACATGAAAACCAAACTAGCACCGTTTTTTGTCAAACTTTCTTAAACCTCCTTACCTTAATAATAAATCAGCATAGTCTTCCGGTACTCCTCCTATATCTTATTTAAGCCAACAAAAATCACCTATCACAAATACAATTCTTTTTTTCTGGCTAATGAAAAGCCAAACCTTTCGAACCTCGTTTCCTCTATATTCGACAAGAAATTTACACCTGGTACAATTTCCCAATTCCGTAACTCCCGAATTATGAAAAGAAAAAAAAAACAGCTGAACCAGCCTCAAAAAAATCCCGTAGAAACAGAAAACCAGACCAGTTCTAAACAAAAAACTTGGGAAGCGTGAACCTCTTTCCCAGAGGCTAACCAACTTCACTGCAACACCTAACCAAGTGTTTTTTCAGGTCGCTTTACACTAATTCCCTCATCTGTTCCAAGGCAGTCACACTTCTGAAGTTACAACATTTCTGGAAATAATCATAGCTGATTAAAAATATTATTGTACACAAAGTTCCACAAGTAACTTTCTAATTAGACGAAAAAAAAGCGTCGCAGTAATAGAACCAAAGTGACAAGACGAGTTCAAAAGATCTGTATAATGCGGTTATCAATAAAACACTTGATATTTCCTTACAACTATATTTCAAAAATAAGTTGCGAGAAATGAACGAACAAACAGATAAACCAAGCAGTCAAAAGCTATCGTTACTCATTAGGCCCAACCTTTAACGGAGATCATTACCGCAAAAATGTCCGGAACAACTTCCTCATTGAAGATTTTTCTCTCATTTTAAGCAATTTGCTGTTTTCCCAAAAGCTATAATTCTTGAAAAATAATACTGAGACATTGATTTAAAAATGCAGTCTCAAAAAAAATTATGGTTTTTTCCTCCTGACTCTCAAAAACCTTCCAGTGACGAAAACGCAAATGCAAAATCTAATCTGCCTCGTCCAAACATCTTCCCCTTGAAATTACTCAAACAAACTTTTTTTCTTCTCTTCAATGTTCTTCAGTAAAACTGAATAAAAAATCAACTATTCGCACGCTAGAACTGAACACGAGACGTACAGTCAAAAACTTTGTAAAATTCAAAGCCTAAATATATATA